AAGTATGTCAAGCAATGACAGGCAGCTCACAAACCAGCTTGTTCCGGAATGTTCCTTTTAGCCAAATAGCTGACACAGACAGCTCAACCCCATCAAGTCTGTCACGGTGAAAGAGGGACTGATGAGCAGATAGATCAGAACCCAGATGTAAATGACACTCTGAAAAAAACACAGAATCTTATTGTCACATAACAGGGGTGGAACAAAGCAGTCAGCACAAGAGGGGGAGCAGCACAGGAAGTGAGGCGTGTGGTGGAATGGACCAATAGGAGGACACCAGTCAAAAGGAGCCTGACGAGAGTTAACATGGATTGATGTATGTGATTTTTAGAGGTTTATGTTGCATTTAACTGAAACTCACTTCATGCGGAAATTACACAGCATATGTTTGGCAGGGGCTCTGTGGGTAGCAACATCACCCCATATCTCCCGGACTGGGGGCTCAAATCCCACCCCAACTGTGTGTATGACGTTTGCACATCCTCCACAAGTTGTGCAGGGGTCCCCAGAGTGTTCTATGTTCCTCCATAGACTAAACACATGTAGACAGTTAAACTGATGTCTCTAAATTGCTCCATCCAGCATGTCCCCTGCCTTGCTTCCTACTCTGTCTGGAACAGGCTCCAGACCCCCCCCTTCCCGTGACCCTCTACTAAGTAAGAGGTTTTGAAGATGTATGAATATAAAGCAGCATTCACTGATACTTTAGCTCATCTACTTGAAGATGTTTAATTCCCTTGATTCTGCGTCTTGAACCATGTGAGAAATTAGCCGATTTCCCACAATCCATTAGTTTCCAAACATTCCCAATGTCCCACTTGTGCTCTTCATTTTTGCTGCAGCTCTCTCTCTGCAGTGTGCTTAATATTTCAGGTGGGCTATTTTCTGATCCGTTTTAATTTCCCTTTAATCCATCTGGGAGTTGGAGTCGCTTGTCTTTGAATTGGGTGACCCTCCCCCGGAAATGAATTTGAACCCTCCGCGTATGAATCCCTGGGGCTCTGTCTGTTGCCCCTGAACGGCGTCCATGAAATATTTAATAATTGCTTCGAAAAAAAAATAATAAAATGAACAGATTAAGCCGTGTCGCAATCAGATCTCTTGCATGAACACATTCATCTTGGGGGGGTCGCCGCTGCTGGGAGCGTATCCACACGCAGGTGGGGAAGGAGGGGAGGGGGTGCAGTTTTACGTGACTAAAATGGGCCAGACCCTAGTGTGGACATGCAGTCACTTACTACTGCTGGGGGGCACGCCATGTTGTTTGTTTATATATGCGCATGAGTCTCTGTGTATGTCTTTAAAGTTAAGGAAAAACATCTTTCATATCATCACTGATAACTACTGCCAGTGATTATGACACAGGATTTCTGATCAGACCACCAAAGATATTCATCATCATATTGGCCTTTGTGGCTTTTTCATCTTTACTGTCTGTATGTCTTTTTGCTGTCTAAATGTGTGCATTATGCTTCTGTAAACCTGCAGAATTTTCAAAATATCTTACAGTCACCTTATTCTAACACCTGCATGCATATTATTATACATATAGCAAGTTATAATGTAAGGATTTAAAAAAGGTGTTTGTTGTGCATCCATAAACCATAAATAATTCATAGGCCCAAGCGTGCACTTCGTACGACATTAATATGCTATAAGACAGATTTCCATACATTATGGATAACAGGAAGTCACGCTGCTCACATTGGTGGGTCACGACGCATCGTAGGGTGACAGGGAGTCGCACGATCTTTGTATCCAGTGACACGAGAGAGCACATTTCCCGACCCCTTCAGCCAACAGATTCAGCAAGACGTATCCCTCCTTTGAAGGAACAGAGCCAGCAGGTCTTCAGGTTAACGAGACCACTGAGTTTAAACTCATAAAATATTGATATCGGCTATCACCTTTGGCCACTATGCCGCGTATATATTTAATCTCTGCAGTCATGTTTCAAGCCTTCTTCGGTGTTCATTTCCGACTTGTTAGACATTTATAAATAAATATAAAAACTCACGTTACAACCAAAAGTAGATCACGACTTTTAACACTCAGGATCTGCCCCAATTGAGCAGCGAATTAGGCCCCTTTAGGCACACAAATGCAGAATGTTTAACTGGACATCAAATGTGAGTGAGGTGACACTCAGAGCTCAGCACTGATGCATTGCATTAATGTTCTTGCTTTCCTTTAACAGCGTGAGGTTTGAAACAGCCCACAGAGCTCGGCGGGTCTGGGATTGGCTGCGGACTGGTTTCTGCTCTGGACGTCCCGACTATTCCGACTCTTCCCATTGGCTGGCATGTCACATTTTGTATAAACAAATCTGTTTAAATAAAAGAAAATCATTAACATATAGGAACTCTACAAAATCTACATTAATCATGGTAAAGTCCCTGTAGCTACACGGGTCCAATTAAACAATGGCCACGCTTCATACAGATGTCTTTGAGGGTTTATTTCTATCTCTCTCTCTCTCTCTCTCTCTCAGCAGACACCGTGAAAACTATAACAAAATTAAGACAAAAATTTACATCACAGTCCATACAATTCTGTTCCTTAGCACCCCCGTCACAAACACGCAAGCTCGTCCAAAATACATCACACTCACAATTAACCGAAACAAAGATACATCGTACATATAAATGCACACTTAATTATAATCACATACAACACAAAAAAATTTAACAATTACCGTGTGCGCCTCTTGGACCACATGCAGAGTTAAATCCCTTTCAGCACTGTGCAACTACCTCTTTCCCAGTGCCACCACGCCAAAACCATGCCAAACGTCAGTCATGTGACCCATTACGCTTTGCGTCAATTTACATAGAATTTTTAATTATTCAATAAACATGTTTACAATAAATTTTAAAGATCACAACAAATTTAGGTATCTCAATTTATAACACAAATGAACTTTCAGAACACACTGTCATTGGGACAGTTACAGTCCCCATACCAAACTAAAGACATTACACACTATAATTTGTAAATGAAATATTACAGATTGCAATCAGGATACTGTGCTTTATCTGGTTTAAATGACTAATATCTGAATTTTTAAGCTATAGATAATCCGAAAATAACGTGATATTTTTCTCTTGTTCAAGTACTAGCTAAGAATACACACTAATAGACTACATGGAACTAATTCGATAGGAACTTGTTCAAATGTGACCCATTTTTCCTTAGGCCACTGCTACTGCATGTTCCTCTACCATCACGGAACCAGCGTGACTTACTGATCGCGTGTCATGTGATCCGCAGGCCCCTCTCTGCTGTGGTAAGCACTGCTTGATTCCATTTCATAACAGGGCCATTTAATTTTGCTTGTAAAAGGAGACGTGCAATTTGTCATTGATTTCTTCTAAGCGCCTTCCTCGCGATACGCGCCGAGACAATACTCTAGTAGATTATGTTCCACTGAAGCTCACAATTCATTTTCTATAGAATGACAGGGTATCCCTAAGTGCAGCTACATGTAAAGCGATTGTATCACTACGCTGAACGTACACTTTTGTCTATATCATTTCTGAATGACTGTCAAGACAAAGCATCCTGCCAGGAGAAGCACTAAGGAACTGTAAAATTGGAGCGGTTTATAATCCTCAAATCGCTTTCCTCACAGCCACCCTTTTAAAGGATATCAGTAATCCGAAAATGCATTCAGAGGTGTTCACGCTGCATTCTGCTGAGCGCTGCAGTTCCTGGGGGGTGCCACATCACACAGGACAATACGTGAATTAGCTTAAATCCTTCCCGTTACCATCATCGCCAAATCCCCTCTAAGACAACCACCATTTTTTTTCCTCCCCATGACTTAGGGTTGAAAGGTGATTCTCTATGAATTGTGGGAATGGGGAATCAGCAGAAAGACGTGACACAAATGTGCCCTGAATTTCGAAACAAGACTGTCAGCATTTCCTGGAGATGGATGGCACTCCGGAAGGTGATTCCACAACAGCGAGCGGGAAACTCAATTAGCTTCATCTTACGGCTTGGATGGATGGATGGAGACCGCCTAAACCCCATCCCGAGACACACCTATTTATGACTGATATCCCACTTTGATTTTTTGATAGTATCAAACTCTATACTTTATGTTTGCAGGAACACACAGATCATTCCATTCAGGTGTGTTGATGTACTGTTACCCGTAATACTACTGTTCCTAATTATTTTATTTCACTGTTTTAGGCATTTAGGTTTTCCACTTAGACGTTCAGAGAATTAAAAAGTGAATTAAATCAGTAATGGGTGGATTTTAAGAATGCATCTTCTTTTCAATGCCCTTTTGCAGTATTTACGTTTGTATGTGCTATCTGGCTAAATTAAAGAATTTAAAAATAGGTAGGATATTCATGGATGTGTTTAAGTGAATAGATCATTAACTTTGTAAATGACAAATCCTCTTTAAGCTGACAAGCCTTTGAACAACAGTTGTTTTCCATTACCTGTCGTTCAGTTGTCATTCTACAAGCTGTCATAAAACAGGAAGATGTTGTCATTTAACGCGTCTCCTCGCTTTTGTTCAGTGTTCAGTTTCATTTTGGCCGCCTGGAGCTGCAGATGACTTGTCTCTTGATCAGCCAAGCACTGCAACCCCTGCATGTGTGACGCCACGGTTTCCACTGAAGCCAGAATGTAATGCAAGGGGGAAACTCTGTCACTTTGAATTTGTTGTTTAATGTTAAGGCCAAACCCGCAAGTGGGGAGATCGAACTCAAAAATGAAAGGGAAGGGATACACACGCTGGACCTTCGGGTGTCATTTACGGATGAATGCATCTGAGGATGATTTATAAAGTTAACTTTAGTCGTAGCTTAAATCATTTTTCGGTCCGAATAAGCCGAAAATAGAGTAGACTCCTACTCTGTAATGATCTTCGCAGGGTGACTTTAAACGCGGGTAAGTGTTTCGTTCCCGATATAAATCCGCTAAGACAGACGCACGAACGCTGACAAATGACGCTGCTGGGTGCGGATTTACGGATGACGGCGTTTCTGCAGCTGGAACCATCGAATCCCTTCGGGCTGGTGCGAAAGAGTGCTGACGGATCTACTGCACACCGTTGCTCTGTTTAATTAATTAGTTGCTCTGTAGACACTTTTATAAATGACTCATACTGCTTAAAATTTTACCCATTCGTGCTGGTATTGAACGGAGACTGATTGCGTTTAAGTGCTTTTCCTGAGACTTAAGCTCCGGTAATCGTTAAGTACTGGGCCCGGGAGGTGTTGACTTGACGCCTGTTGCTGATGAGTCAGATTCGTTGTTACTTATAGACTCTTTGAGGAGTTTTATTTTTATGCAGTTACACTACCGGAGCTAACAGTGAAGCTGCTATGAACTGTTAGCTGAGACGTTGGTCTGAGTCAGCAAAGAAACCTGATGGTAAGAATCGATGCTTTTCAAATGGATATTTACCCACAGAAAATTAAGCCGTTCTGTTCCAAATTGACCTGAATTAAAACAAGTGCTGCACTTTTTCCAATCTTAATGCATTTGGCAAAAAAAAGTTAATGGAATCCTGTGTTCAAGTGATGTTAGGCATGAACAAGGATCTGTCATAATTAAAAGGAAAGTGGGGTTTAAATTAAGTGTGAAGAGAAGCAGTCCCATGTGCGCAATATCATTACCCACAATGCATTTCGCCGCATTAAACCCTCCTTTACAATAGTCATTATTGCTTTTTGCTCGAATCTGTTGCTTTTACTAAGTGCCTTTACTGTAATTACCGCTGCAGGTACCCAACAAAATATCTAATATGGAATATTTTTTCACCTGTCTAAATGCCCAGAATAATAATGAACAATGGTATGGTTTCATATTTAATTGCTTGGTGGATAAAAGGATAAATACCCGCAGAAAATAAACGTCTGTTTACCTTACCTTGTTAAAAGCATGCAGCTGGTATTCTACACAATTAACTAAATGTCGTTTTTATATGTAACAAGCAAAAATAAAAAATAAAAATAAGGGCAACGGGTTAAATAAATGTTCTGGCGGAAAGGAAAATATTGTAATTTTCTGTTATGTTCACTTGGGACAATTGAATTGAATGTTTATCATTGTGTGTGTTTATGGGTAATGGGAGTTTTACTGGTACACTTTTATATTGTTCCAATTATGTTTATTACTTTTTACATTGTTCCAGTTGTGCAAATGTTAAGTAAGGGGAAAGTTAACCCTTAATATGCAGTACATATATAGTGAATATATTTCATCTGCTCTCTTGATACTGCAAAAAAGTATCACTAGGGAAATAAATCCAATAATCAGGCTTGCTATATCTGACAAACAGAGCACGCTGCTGTTAAATCGCCTCGCTTGTGAATTGCTAACCATTTGATAAATTGTCCACGTGCCTGCGGTCCATATTTCACAGGCATTAACGTCGACTGGAAACTGACCCGCTTCTGAAGATTTCCAAAGGCTGCGCTGAAGTAGACTGCAAGCACAATGCACTGGTTTGCGCCTCACACGGCTCCCAGCCACAAAGGCACAGCGTTGCTTCCTGCTTTCGCGTGGACTGCTTTTTACATTACCGTTTTCCAGCTGAGTAAACTGCGGTCTGTTGCTATTACAGACATTTTTTCCGAAACACATTCACGTTGGGCAGCATGGTGGCTCTATGGGTTGCACTGCTATTCGCAGATGTTCTGAGGATGCGCTCCAGGTACCTATACTTCCGCGGTTACTCTCACAGTCCAAAAGCGTGCAGTTAAGTCAATTAATACAGTACGTCTGAATTACCGTACTAGTTTTTGATAGTGCCTACCATGTGATGACGTGGTATCCCACCCAGGATGTGTCATGTGCCTCCTTATGATGGGCTTGACGGCAAAATGTACTGGATAAGCAGTTATGGAGGACGCACATAATAGCTGTATTCATGTGTATATTTTATGCAAATAAATTTATAACTAAATAAACATATAATTATTATATTATATAATTATAATATAATGATTTCTGCATGTAAAGGTTATGGAATATATATAATGTTTTTGAAGTATTAAATACAGCGTTTTATGTAATTATATATTTTATGTATAATTGTATATTTGGTGTATTTAGAATGTTCTGTGATGGCATTGCAAGAGCGAACTGACTTCAATCGCGGCTCCGAGGCAGTCATGAAGGTCTTTAATGACTAAAGCAGTTGTGGTTTCTGACTCGAGTCGGTCCAAGAGGAGAGGCCCCTTTACCCCATAAATCCGTCAGCATTGGCCCTCTGAGTAATTACCACTTCCTCGCGATTGTGAGTTGCGGGGTATTAATAAAGCCAATAAAGGGGAATTATGTGGCTGCGGGGGACTTCCTGGAGGGGCTGAGGGGGCGCGCTCATTATTCCATAATTCGCGGTTAGAAACGTCCCTGCGAAGATGCCGGGCAGAGTAGGAATAGCTGGAGGAGCGATACTCCAGCGCACCCTGCGTCCTCCCCCTTCCCCGGCAGAGCTGGCTTCAGTATTTGCCGTGGGTATTAATAGGGTTAGCCAATCAGTGACAATTAACCAGCAATCAGTGACACTTAGCCAATCAATGACAAGAATAAATCGTAAGCTCAATCAAGGAGTGTCTCATTGGTTTCTCAGAGCGATTCTGGCGAAAATGAACCGAACAGCATTTATTCGCTTATTTGTTTACATCCATATCGTGGCGAAGCTGACATCACTATCCGAATGCCGGCCTCCTTAAATACCCTGTCAGCTGTTCCAAGGAGGATCTCTCAGTTCTCGAGCTCCGGAGCGTACTTCTACACCTCCTACCAGGCTTCCACTCCATCACGGAGACAGACAGCCGAGTACCTTAAACGAGCACCTGTTCAGACAACAACCTGACATTAGCGTTACCAATTGGCCATGACACTCCTTCATTTACACTTAATGTCCTCTCCCTGCTCGTTCCCTCCCCCTGTCGTCAATATCTGTTACAGATCTGCTGAAACCTGGATCTCGCACGTCTTCCTTCAGATGGACGCGTGGGGGAGCAGGTGTTGGTTTACCTACTGTGGCAACATACTTTGGGGCATACATTCCCTGTAGCCTGGCTCATTTTTGGAGCGTCATTAAGAATGCAGTGATGAACAATCATGTAAAAAATCTCTACACATAATATAATGCAAACTGTTAAACATTTACTAATGAGAGCGTGAATTATATGTTTTTAACAAAAAGGTTATATCTGAGTTTTTCAAAAGCAAACAGAGAAGTGGACAAGTCTTAAATCCCAGCCCCCTTGTTCAGATGCGTTCTGCATCTCCGTTGCTAGACTAAAGCTCTACAGGGGCACAGGCCCCCCACCCCTCATTATCCATATGATTTTTGAAAGTTGAACGTGAGATTTTACTGTAGCAAAGGGCGTAAATACTGAGACATGAGTAAAAGGGGGCTAGCTACGGTTTGAGCTTAAATCTGGCTGTAAATTCAACATGAAAGCAGTGTGCTGAAGGCGGGAGGCACAGAAGGTGATCAGAATTGATTGTGTCTGATCCCTGCTTGTAACCGCTAAGTGTAAATGTTACTCGCATCTACATTCTTTGAAGTGTCCCCTCATGAAATATTACCTTGTGTAACTTTTCTGTCAATGTTTAGCTGCCCTTTTTCACAGAGTCCCCTTAAAGGTCTAATATACAGTGTGTTTGAAAGCTGTCCCGGTATTTCAAGTGAGGCAGTGAACTAGGTGGCTTCTTGAAGTCCTCAGTGGGATGACTATATTGATCTCACAGAACTAGTTACATAAGCTAGAGAGTCCAATTTAGCCAATCAGACCAGGTGACTCTTGGCTTTGAATCCATTTTAGCCAATCATTTCAGGTGAGCCTTGGTATTGAGTCCATTTTAGCCTATCAGTTCAGGTGAGCCTTGGTATTGAATCCGTTTTAGGCAATCGGTTCGGGTGAGCCTTGGTATTGAATCCATTACAACCAATATGTAAAAGTGCTGTTTAGTCAATTTAACGCAATCGGGTTAGCCTTGGCATCCATGTAAAATAGCAGATTGTCCAGGAGATCCAAACATCAGTTAATTCAAATTATCAATGCACAAACTTGATATTGGATGGGATTTTACACGGTACCAGTGTCATACCATTTTTTCTTCTGCAGAATGTACATTCGTGGTATTAAACTGTGTCATTTAGCATTTTACAGTTTTGCTCATTTGTCTAAATATTTACAAAAGCAGTTCAGATTAAGCATGGGTATTATCCGGGGGTCTCAATGGAACCGCGTTCTCCCTGGGGTCTCCCCCTTTGAGGCTGTTTTTTCCCCTTCCTCCTTTAGGAGACCCGGTTTGTTCCCCCTCTGTGGGAAACTGCCTTTTGCTTCTGTTGACCGTAGCTTATTCTTTGGCGGCTTTGATGTTTCTGTTTTTTTCCTCTCTAAACGGACTCCGTCATCTGCACACCAAACAGGTCTACATCGATAATGCTTGAAAAATACCCGTAGTAACGTATTTCTCTATCACTACATTCAATTTCTTTGTTTCGCGGCGCGTTGGTTTTCTTATATTATGTGTTATTTTTATATCCAATTACAGGGACGTTACGGTGCATTTTTTAAAACAACATAATTTAGTTTGTTTATGGCGTGTGTAATATTTCATCCTTTGCGCCGCGTGAAGCGCCCTGGAGCACAATTTTAAAATGATTGCAGCTTTACCAAGTTAACAAAGCGGATCTCCCTACTGCATAGTATATTTATATTAACAGGAGGATACAGCACGACTTTTTCTTATAATGAACTGCCCTTGTTCTGCGTAAGACTTTCCAGACCCCAGTTTTCGAAAGCGGATACAAGCAACTTTTAAAGTGATTTTTTCCCCTTTGGCGCGATCTATTACATTACTGTAAACTGTGGCTATGCGTTCTGTAGAATGTAAGGGATTCCGTGTATTATGTGACCCAGAATATGCCGGAATAGTACGGAAAATACGGAGAACAGCCACACAGATATCACCATCCCACAGCACTGGAGAATAAATGGCAAAAATATAAATAAAAAAATAAACCCGCTCGGTCGAGAATGAAGCTAAAACATGTTACTTATGATATAGCAAATATTCAGTGAGCAGTCTTTTGTACAACTCGTCAGTAATTACTTAAAGCCATATTAAAAATGAAATCCACCAAGGTGTAAGGTTCCTACAATGTACAGTACCTACACGGGACTGGCATCAGTTAGAGCGCGGAGGCGGGGTCTAAGAGAAATGTCAAGGTTGGGCAGCGTCCGTCGCTCTCTAATTGGTCGGACTGCTTGCTCATGCAAATGAAGAGGGCGGGGCGAAGACTTGACGCCGCTGTCTGCCGGCGCGATGGGTTTTCGCTTCTGTCCAGCAAGAGCGCGGTCTGCTATTCGCGCGTCTCTGGGATTACAAACCTTGCAGGAGCGAAAAACTGAGACATTTCTCGTCATTGCTGCGTTCATCTCCACATCTTTCAAACCCTGGATTATTAACCTTCTTTACGGTCAGCGCACAACTTTGAACAATTGCAGAGCAACAGCATACCCAGGTAAATTGCCGCTCATGTTACATGCGTCTTGTGTTCGGTCCGTTTACCTTTCAGTTGTTTTTTGGGCTTGGATATGGCATTTCGTCATGCACATGAGTGCTCGTGTTATAACTTGGCGTGTGCAATAAACAGCACGCTTATTACGTTTGCCTAGGTCCGGACAGGCGCGATCCTTCGCCTGACACTGAAGCTCATCTCCTGACATCTTCTGCTATACGCTAATACGCATAAATATGCTTGTTGCAAGCTTCACATGCATTTAACATATATGCATCCTGTTTCTATTGTGTATGCATTTAAAGTTCACTTTTCACGATATTAATGACTGAAAACATCCGAGAAAAAATTAACAAAGAAGAACGTATACCTCATTGTAGCAAGCCTTTTTAGAAAATTACAATTTTCTACATGACTTTCTAATAATTGTCTTTTAACTTTGTTGCAGAAGGTAATTTCTCCTTTCGTGCTTTAGTGTAGCAGCCAGACAGATCTTATTCTAAGAAGCAGAGGGAGTTTTACATTTTTTTCCATGGAAGAGAAAATGTGTGCATCCCGGATCTTGTGATTTTTATACGCTAATTTGCTAAGACGCATAACCAGGATAATCGCCTTAAAGAAAGAGCATTAAATCCCCCAAGCAGTTGAGCACCCTGACCGTATTAGATTTCAGTGCAAACTTCACATACAAGTCACTTGAATGTAGCAGGGATATATAATTAGTCGATCCGAACTCTTGCCAGTTTCCGTGCAAGTGAGATGTCATTGAAAACGGCGTTAGATCGTTTAAAAACACTTATGGGTATGCCGTTTCCCGTCCAAGTTTTGACATGCTGAAAACATGCACGCAAGACTTGGCTGTTATTTTTAGTTTGCAATTACGTCTTCAACTACGGCTTCAAATACCAGCGTTATCTTGACAGCTTACAAACCAGGCGCCTCTCGCTGACCCCAGGCTGTATTTTGCCAGACGTGTTTCACATAACGTCGTGCAGTAGGTCATTTAGACGTGGGAGATCTGCCAGTAGAGCGATGGAGATTTACCAGACATTTCACAATACATCTTTTTTGGAATATTTTTTTAAGCGATTCACTTATCTTTTAGTAATACAAAATTCTAGTGAGGCAAAAAATGTCTTAAAATGACTCCTGAAATCCTACGTTTGCTTTATTAATCATTCCGTTTCCTATGACATCTCATGGTGCGAGGGGATTGTCAGTCAGATGTATTGTCAGTCAATTATATTTAACGTGATAAATAAATGGATTTCACCTGTTTTAAACTGGATCTAACCAAAGCCATATCGACGACTGTATAGTTATTTGCATAGGTATCTGAAATTAGCAGACATGCTATTGTTTGTATCTCTCACATATAATATACAGTACAGAAGGACAAGATTGTTTAACTGAAGTAAATAAAATGCAATATTGCCCAATAATACTACGCTAAAGACTGTTCGATTGCTATCATTTACTGATACTGGTGTTTGGTAAGGAGTGCGGAATAAACTTTTCTCCCGAAAATGGATTTCAGTGCATTACGCACGAATTTCACTATTGGACAATAGCGGTGAACAATGACAGAAATTCAGTTAAGTGTTGAGCTGCGACGCGACATATGCAGAAGCATAGTACCCGTAACATCTGACCCTGGATCAGTGCGATTGTCTGGCTCGTAGTGAATAAGGTATGGTTATAGAAAAGGCAAACTGATTCTAAATCAGTTGTTAAGGGCTGAAAGTAACCCGAGCTAAGGTATCCTCCGTGGATCAGTTTCAGCACCTGTTTTCCTTTGTTCACGGGGCATATGTGGCCAGTGATGTTACGCATAACGCCTGGACGCCGGATTCGTTATTCGAAATTATGATAATATATTTTAGGTACGATTTGTTCCTGGCAAAGGTAGCTTCGGTTTGAGTCGATCTTGATTTAAATTTTTTATCTTTATTGTTCTTGAGCATCGACCATCAGTGGAAAATTGGCAAGGTCAGATCTGTTTCGTAATTTTAATTCGCCGTTTTGTTGATGTTGCCTGTTGAAGAGAAATGTTTGAAGATGATTTATCGCTGGAACTGCTTAGTATGTGTGTGCCTGTGTATATGTGTGTGTGTGAGAGTTTTTGAACTACACATAGAACTGCATTACAGTAGGTTATTTATTAGTGCTACTTATGTATATAGTTATCTCACGCCTTTCCTGTCCGTTACGTGAAAATAACAGGTCAGTATATCATTAGGATTGCACTTTTGAAAAATCTGTCGTGTGTTTTTATTAATGCATTTCCGGGAAGATGGCAAAAAAAACTCTACATTTGTATACACGCCATAAAGCACATGTAGGTATTTTTCAGGAGAACTCTGTATTAGACTGGGTATCACCTGCCCGGCGCCTTTTAGGATTTCATGCAAGGTTACGCGTAATAGATGATGATGATGGTGATTATAATAATAATAATAATAATAATAATAATAATAATAATAATAATGATGATGATAATAATACTTATTATTATTATTATTATTATTATTATTAATGGCTTATGTCTGTGGAAATGATGTATTTGCAGCTTATAGGACTGTAGAGCCGCCAAGAAGTGTCTCATTCAATCTATTACTTATTTTTTGACCTGTGCTGCCTGGGGTATAGGGTTCAGGCTCCCCCAAGACCCTGTCCAGGAAAAGCGGCTGCAAGATGGATAGATGGATTTAAAACACAGATTAACTGCATTTATCACTATCGAGAACATTATCTGGCTACCTCAAGCCAAAACACAATATTAAACTATATCATACTATGTTGCTGAGGGGATTAAATGTCAATTATGTTTGTCCTTTGGCACTTTATATCGAGGACAGCTTGCTGTTATTATGATTTATCAAACTACAATAGCAAACTTTTGTTTTCAGTGCAAAATAAAAGTCACCGTTTTGGATATCCTACTGGCAGGATATGGCAGAAATATAGCATAATAAATGCAGCCTATAGTCACAGATCAAAACGTCAAAGCCATTGTAGAATAAAGCAACAAAATACAATGAAATCTATTTACTGCAATGTTCAGACAGCATATACAGAGGTTCAAAAGAAGACTTTCATTTAAAATTAAGGTCTGTCTGACATGGCGAACAGCAAACACTCACTAGCAGAAGAACATGCAGCGAAATCAAGCCCATGATGGTTTTTCTGATGTAGAGATGCCATGAAAGTAGTTTACAAGAAAGGACCTTTTTGGGACATTTTTCAAGTCTCTGATGAAGATAATGCAATGTGTGTGTGTGTGTGTGTGTGTGTGTGTGGGGGGGGGGGGTGGTTGTTTGTTACGTTTTTTTGGCCGAAAGAGAATGAATCTCATGAACTGTCAGTGGATTTACTGAGATATCGGATTGTGGAACCTGGAGTGTGCTGGAGCTGGTGTCTCGTTGGGTGGCATTATTGCCCTGTACCTGCTGAACTGGGTGTCTGAATCCCACCATCACTGCATGTGTGGTGCATCTCTGCCCTTGTATCCTGTGGGTTTTGTCACACAGTCCAAAGACACGCAGTTAGGCTAATTGGTGCCTCTCATTTGCCTGCAGTGCGATTCACTGGCATCCTGTTCAAGGCGCCCCCCCCCCTTTACCTTGCTCCCCTGGCTGCCTCTGGTAGGCTCCAGGCCCTCTCCCCGCGACCCTAACCTGGATAAGGGGTTGGAAAATGATGGATGAGGTTGCCGGAGAGACCAAAAGCGTTGCCTGCGGTGGGGCTTGTAGCTATGGAAAACAGACCCACAATGTAGAGTAACCTCTGCGACTGCATGGATTACTTCTTGCGTGGGAGGAGGGGTCAGAGGTATCACTAGCGGTGATGCTAATTTCTCTTTTGCAGCACTTTCTTCCCACTGCTTTTTAAATAATTCAGGAGACAACAGCCACATTTAACCTTTGCTCTAATATAAGGAACCAGAAAGAAGTTCAGATGAGATATTTTAGGTTGAGTCGGCAGATTGAAGGTTGTAGCCGTAACGATTGTGTTTTTTTTCTGATGCCTGGACCTGTTGCTTTGTGCTTAATATAAGCCATGTTGACACCTCAATGCTGTCTTGGATCAGTGGGCCTTAGTCTGTTTTTTTATTTGTCTTCATAATGTTGTTTTTAATATACTACGGCATGGATGGTGGAATTTTGCCTTTGGATATGAAATATTAATGAGGAACGCTTTGGAGACTGTTTTCACATGTTTGCCTGATCTGTTTCTATCAGATACTGGGATCTTGGAACCTGAGCAGAAACTCAATGTTTAACTTTCTTCAGATAGCATGAAATATGGTTTATAATCTGACAATCAGACATAGGTTCTCAGATGTGTGCTGTCATGTTCGAAGTAATACATAAATATGGTATTTGTCAAGCAGGAGCTTCACTAGAGATTTCTGAATGGGGGGGCTAAGCCTTTACTATGGGGGTCTGATGGAAATGACCCACATATTGGGGGGCAAGCTAAAGAACATTTTAGGGCAGCTAAAGCATCACAAAAACAGCCCTATAGTGCCCCCCCCCCCCAAAGCCAAAAGCAAAGCTATTCTAGTTTTTTTTTTTTTAGTATCTTGCCGATGAAATTCACCGGGTGGGGGTTTCCCCCCACAATATATTTCACTGAACAACAGATTTTATCATGGACAACCATTGGCTAATTTTGTCGCCAAGGCATTGAAATACCATGGTATACTCAAAATTAACATAATTCCGCCCAAGCCTAATAATTGACTTATTATATATTTGATTTTCCTCAAAAATGCACATGGTTTTAACAAAATGATTCATGTAGATATCTACCTTTCTGATACCCCGCTTATACAGTGGGAAGGTTTAATTAGTCAGACCTTATCCTAATGAGATAAAGCTTAATTAGTGGCAAGTTCACAAGCTCAGGGGTGTAATTAACTTTACACTGACAGTACATGACAGTCTTGCATCCCGCAGATTTGTGTTTTTATGCAGCATTACATATTGCTGATATATTGT